GATTCAATGTAAACACTTTTTAGCAACTGCATTCTCAAACGGACTTTCATCAAACTTTATTCTTTGACCGATTTTCGTCAAACTTTATACAAAGGTCAAGTATGAGTATACCTCAGACATTGTTGTGTTTCAGGGTTCCAAGGTCATAGCCATATAAAGATCACGGTTGCTATAAATAGAAAATTATCAACCGATTCAATGTCATCACTCTAGCTTCTTCATTTCTTAACAGATTTTGATGAAAGTTTATACACAGAAAACCTCGGACATCGTTTTTGTGTTTCATGGTTCCAAGGTCTAGGCCAAGGTCACAGTTGCTATATATAGAAAATCTTCAACCAATTCATTAACAATGATTTTGATGAAAGTTTATACACAGAATACCTCGGATGAGTCAAAAGTCAAAGTGGTTGTAACTATTTATAGAACATCAAACATGGAAACTAATTTCACATGGCTGTGGGGGCATTCATGTCTGAAAGACATTTTCTAGTTTTCTATCTGTTTGAGTACTGTACAAAACAGGCCCAATTCTGTATGAAATGTTTTGTAAATTGAATTTATTTGAAAGTATGTATTTATATTGCACTTTTAATTCCAAACCTAAATCACAGTATGTGCTAGCTTTGAAATTATATATTGTAGGAAGAGAAATATGATCACACATATAAAAGAAAAATTGTGATTTATGATATAGCCCAGGTAGGATCTTGTAAAGCTAGCTGGAGTTATGAGTTGACACCACTGAGACAAGGTCTGTGAGAGGCTGGCTGGACTTTCCGTCCGTAAGTAGATTAGGGCCACGGTAATGAGATCTGGGACTCTCCGATAGTGCTTCCTGTGACACACGAGTAGGAGACTGTAATAGACCAATCTTGATCAGAGGACTTCATCACAACACCTAGCCCAAGAAACGTATAAGACAGGGTCCTTCAGCTGAGATTAAATGGCTTTATCAATCTATCAGATTACAACATACTTCACAGCTTCTGGCTGTGGACTGCAAATTTAAACTGAACAGATAATGCTTTTTTATAGGCATGTAAAACGTTTAGGTCGGCAGATTGGTGCAGAAATAAAGCATTCAGATTGAGACCTGATTCTAGAATGGAATATTGAGCGATATTTAATCCTAGCTAACACACTTCAAAGCTTTGACTCCATTTTGGCTGTGAACGATTTCTCAACAATCCTTTAAGGTGTAAAATGCTATACACAGTTGCAACAACGAAGTAAAATAATTGAGTGAGATCTGTTTTTAGCTTTCCGGGCACAAATGGCCTGTTAGTTTATGAAAAGGCACAAAGGGCTCGGAAGTTCATGATAAGGCACAAAGGGCCTGTGAGTTTATGATGAGGCACAAAGGGCCTGTGAGTTTATGATGAGGCACAAAGGTGCTGTGAGTTTATGATGAAGCACAAAGGGCCTGTGAGTTTATAATTAGGCACAAAGGGCCTGTGAGTTTATGATAAGGCACAAAGGGCCTGTCCTGTGAGTTTTTCTTCAAATGACTTCTTCTCAATAATTGAACTAAAAGACCTAGGATCATAATATTTGGCCTGTACATACCTGGGATGGAGTACTATAAAGTCTCTTCATATAAATGACCTTGAGCTACTTTCAAGGTGATGATGTCACAGGGTCAAGTACAATGTATTCTAAAAGCTTCAAACATTAAAAAAAAAATAGATCTAGAACCATGATGTTTTTATATGTTATGCAGACTAGCATACACAGCACTAGTGCAGTTATGTTTTGTGTTAGGTCAAAGGTCAACTTTCAGCATTGGTTGAGGTCAAATCTCAACCTTGATATAATGAGTAAAAAAAAATTAAACATATTTTTCAGTTAAATTAGGCCAAGGGATGTGATATTTAGCCAGCTAGAACCATAAATAAAGTGCTCTAAAGTGTTCTACTTATAAAGGACCTTGACCTACTTTCATGGTCACAATATCAAAATGCAGTTATACATCGAAAATGTATACGGATGTTAGAAGTTAATTAAGTTATACAAATTTTCCAAAACTTGAATGGATGTTTTGTTTTTGGCAATTTTTAAATTTTGATTTAAAATTAAAATAGGAATTAAGATACCACCATTGGGCTTTTATAGCCATAAAATGGGAAAAGAAAAAAATGAGTTTTTTTTTTGTTCTTTTTTAATATTATCATTTTAAAACTACACTCATTTTATCTTAAACCTAGGTATTTAGATGACACTGAAGGTTTTTAGCACATCAGATACTCATTGTTTGTGAAAGAACACGTGTAGGACATTCTTATATACATATTCATGTTATAGTTTTTATGACTCCAGAAAGCTATCTATACCCAGGTATTTATACACATACTGGTACTGTATTCTACCTAATAAGCACCCTAGTTGTTTTGCAATTTGGGAAAATTATCATGACTACAAAAACTTCCAGAATGGTAAATAAATAGCTGTAATAGACACTTTTAATCAAGTTGGTAAATTATGGAAAAGGGTTTGGAGGCTTGGGCCAGAAAATAAGATAGGGGATCAGCTTAAAAGGGGTGAGTCGCATTTTAGATCAAATATGGTAAACCTCATAGTCTGTTGCTAGAAGCTCATGCATATGTCTCCTTAAACTCTAAAGAAAGTGAGCTTACTTTTTTTTTGTTAAAACTTCCTGCACACTGAAATTTACCTGTATGTTACATAAACCAACATACCAATAATTTCGCTCTTGCCAATCAAGTTTCCCTATTAACATGTAAGATTTTTCACCCTCATCATTCTCTTACCATACTTTTACCTGTATGTTACATAAACCAACATACCAATACTTTCTCTATACTATATATATACAGTAGATAATAAATAAATAAGTCCTTGCGAAGGAAAATATAGAATAAAAACATAAAGTTTTCAGATCGTCCGCTAGGCCTTTCTGCCTTCTAGGGCTTCTTCAGGCAGATTTTATATATATATACATATATACTTGCCAATCAAGTTTCTCTATTAACATGTAAGTTTTTCACCCTCATCATTCTCTTACTGTAAATTTGAAATCCACGAGATTATCTACATCTTGCTGTTTACTCAAATTAAATGAATTCTTTAAATATAAATCAGATTATTTATGTACCTGGTATATATGAGACTTTACACTATTATTAGACTGTCACCTTTAGCCAGACAGTGTATAGCTATCATATAAGCAGAAAAGACAAACAACCGCTTATTTTTTATTTTATTTTTTTCAATGAGGTATCATCGTAATTATATTAGCATATCATAAGTATCGTTTGTCTATTCTTAGATTGTGTCTGGGAATTTTTCCGCCATGAGAAAGGCTGGCAAGTGAAGTACACATATACCATATACTGGTTTCAGTACATGTATTTGCACAATGTCTTAGCCATTCATTTGTATACTTACCTGGTAACCCTAAAACAGGTAAAAACATTCGTAGAGAAGAGTGCTTAAGGCTCTATAAGTTCTTCTGTGCCACTATAAGTACACAACTGTAATCCACAAGATCTAAAGATTTCTAGTGAAAGATATCTTTGTCATTTAGTTTTCTGGACCTCTCTTTCAATTCACTAACTATAGCACTTTTCACCTTTTCCGGGTGTCTACAGGTATAAGGACCTCTTGTGGTCGACAAGCATGGTGTATTCAAGATTGTCATCTGTATATATATATATTTCAATCAGTTCTTGTTCAGGTGGGATCACATAGTTGAATTTGAAAAGCCCATTAAGGATCCCTGTGCCAATGCCAATCATTTCATTTTCATGTTGAGAATCATTTTTTCTGGTATGACTGTAGCTTGGATAAACCATTCCTGTAAAAAATTGTGAGACTTCTATGAAAAAATGATATAGATGAAATACTACATACCGGGAAATATTCCCTTCAGTTTAATTTTCCCCTTTTTCGTCCTCCGTAATGATGGCGATTTTATTATCACAGAAAATATTTGTAAACAACATCAAATGCATAGTAATTAGATGTGAAGGGCGAATTTAATATAGGGCGAAAATGGATTTTACCATTGAAGGGCGAAAATTTGACTGAGCGAAAAATTTCCCGGTATACAGTACATGATATAAAAGAAAATAATCAACAAAACTAGTGTTCTTATTGTATATGTCAGCCTGGTAAAATACTAGCTGCGTCCTACCGACTCAGATAGGGAGAATCCCTCTTTAATTCATTTGGTAGAGCATAATACTAATGAGCCACAGGTCCCCGGTTCGACTCCGAGTGGAAGCACTGAAAAAATAATGACCTGTTACATTGGCACCTACGTAGGTGACTCGGGAGATATGACAAAATACAATTGCTATGACCCCTTAAAAACTTGGGAAACAAATTCTTTCCTGGAGGAGTATGTCACCTTGGTAAAATACTAGCCGCTTCCTACCGACTCGGCTAGGGATAGCACTAGCTAAGACCAGTAAACCAGAGGTTCCGGGTTCAACTCCTGATGGAGGTATTGAAAAAATAAGGACCTTTTTTACATAAAAATACAATGAGGCCAGACCAAGATTTGAACCCTGGACCTCAGATTATTATACTGTTGCTCTTACCAACTGATCTACTATGTCAACAGAAGCAGTGGGGCTACAGTCATAGCCGAAATGAATTCAATGGGAGGTAACTGTATGTTTGAAAAAAACTCCAATGGAGTTCTCTTGGGTTTTGCCTATGAGACAGGGATTCTTAATTTTTTTAAATGAAATTCCAACTATAGAAAAAAGAGATTTATTTAATATTTTTTTGGCATATGAAATAGAAACTATACATTTTCACTTTTCAGAAATGAAATTCTTCCAGCAGGGCACCAGCTGTTGTTGCATTTGAATATTTTACTCCTTTTTTTTATTGGAATTTAATGTCCTTGCAACAGCTAGGATTATACAAATTCTTTGGAGAGTTATCGTAAAAATACATGGTTTTGTAACCGTCCTTTTTAAGATAAAATAAATTTGATAATTTTTATATTTATTTTTTTTGTATTTCAGATTGCTTGGACAAAACTAAAGAGTCAGCCCATTGGTATTGTAAGTAGACCACTGATATGTACGTAACTTACATCTGATATTTACTGCTGTGTGGCATTGCTACTAAATAGTCCTACCAAATTCAAACCTATTGGTGGTGAAATGTCACATGGCCCAAATGTTGATAAGCTAATGGTTCTTTGAACAACCTGGCCGAAAAGTCAAGAGTATTCAGTAAAATCTTGCTTTACTGCCAACATTGTACAGTAAAAATTTGTTATACTGCCACCATTGCACAGTAAACCTTGTTTTACTACCACAAATGCTCAGTAAAATTTGTTGCACTGCCACCATTATATAAACCTTGTTATACTGCCACCATTGTACAGTAAAACCTTGTTATACTGCCATCATTGTACATTAAACCTTGTTATACTGTCACCATTATCCAGTAAAACCTTGTTATACTGTCACCATTATACAGTAAAACTGTGTTATACTGCCACCATTATACAGTAAAAATCTTGTTATACTGCCACCATTGTACAGTAAACCTTGTTATACTGCCATCATTGTACAATTAACCTTGTTATACTGCATCATTGTACAATAAAACCTTGTTATACTGCCATCATTGTACAGTAAACCTTGTTATACTGCCACCATTGTACAGTAAAACTTTGTTATACTGCCACCATTATACAGTGAAACCGTGGTATACTGTCACCGTTATACTATAAAACATTGTTATACTGCCACCATTATTCTATAAAACCTTGTTATACTGCCACCATTATACTATAAAACCTTGTTATACTGCCACCATTGTACAGTAAAAGTATTGTTATACTGCCATCATTGTTCAATAAACCTTGTTATACTGCCAGCATTATACTATAAAACCTTGTTATACTGCCACCATTATACTATAAAACCTTGTTATACTGCCACCATTATACTATAAAACCTTGTTTTACTGCCACTATTATACAGTAAATCTTGTTATACTGTCACCATTATACAGTAAAACCTTGTTATACTGTCACCATTATACAGTAAAACCTTGTTATACTGCCACCATTGTACAATAATCCTTGTTGTACTGCAAGCCTTGTACAATATAACCTTGTTATACTGCCACCATTGTACAGTTAACCTTGTTATACTGCCACCATTGTACAGAAAACCTTGTTATACTGCCACCATTGTACAGTTAACCTTGTTATACTGCCACCATTGTACAGTAAACCTTGTTTTACTACCTCAAATGCTCAGTAAAATTTGTTGCACTGCCACCGTTATATAAACCTTGATATACTTCCACCATTATACAGTAACACCTATATTATACTGCCACCATTATATAATAAAATTGTTGAACTGTACACCACCATTTAAAAGTAAATCTTGGTTATACTGTCACTGTTTTGATTTTCAAAGTGCTTTTGCGATATTTCGAGGGAAACATAAAGATATTTGTTCAAAAATACTCAAAAGGAGACTTTCAGCTAATTCTATAAAATAAAGAAATGTTTATTTTCAGTACTTGGATGAAGTTGTTTTAGAAATGGAAACATGTGATGACCCAAGGCCGCCGAACAACCCTGCACATGAGGCCAGTTATAGGTAAATACCCAACAAAATATAGATAAAAACCTAACTAGTGACAGGTAAGTATTGGGTAAATACCTGACTAGTTACAGGTAAGTATCAGGTAAATACCTGACTAGTTACAGGTAAGAATCAGGTAAATACCTGACTAGGTACAGGTAAGTATCAGGTATATACCTGACTAGTTACAGGCAAGTATCAGGTAAATACCTGACGAGTTACAGGTAAGTATCAGGTAAAGACCTGACTAGTTACAGGTAAGAATCAGGTAAATACCTGACTAGTTACAGGCAAGTATCAGGTAAATACCTGACGAGTAACAGGTAAATTTCAGGTAAGTATCAGGGAAATACCTGACTAGTTACACGCAAATATCAGGTAAATATCTGTCTAGTTACAGGTAAAAATATCAGGGAAATACCTTACTAGTTACAGGTACATATCAGGTAAATACCTGACGAGTTACAGGTAAGTATCAGGTAAATACCTGACGAGTAACAGGTAAATTTCAGGTAAGGATCAGGTAAATACCTGACTAGTTACGGGTAAATATCAGGTAAATACCTTACTAGTTACCGGTTAATATCAGGTAAATATCTGACTAGATACAGGTAAATATCAGGAAATACCTGACTAGTTACATGTTAAAATCTTACTAGTTACAGGTAAATATAAGGTAAATACCTGAATAGTTACCGGTAAATATCAGGTAATACCTTACTAGTTACATGTTAAATTCAAGCTAGTTACAGGTAAATATAAGTTAAATGCCTGACTACTTACAGGTTAAAACCAAACTAGTTACATGTTATTATCTGTTTAATATCTGCAGGTAAATATAAGCTAAATACCTGACAAGTTACAGGTAAAAACCCAGCTAGTTACAGGTAAATACATATTTTACATACCTTGTGAATCTTACTGTAGACAGGAAGCCTGTTTTCAGGCCATGCAATACATTAATTCTCCGTTCCTGAAGCAGGACTCCTTTGTAACTGAAACTCATCATCAAGATTGGGTTCCGAACTTTTTGCACCATTTTACGCTATGGTATCTTGACATTATTATTCTGCCCTCAACATTATTTTGTCTGCAACTGTTGATTGGATGAAGTTTTAAGGAATGAAACTAAACCTCAGTACCTTACAATCTTGAGAAAATAAGCCTGGAATTCCTCACAGTTAAAAATATCTTGATAATAAACCGTCTTTTAAAGTAGGGTGGTCTTGAAATATACATGGGATTCCAGGAAGGCACCTAAACAAGTTTTACAGGAAATACCAGAATACAATTTTTATTATTGTAACAAAGGAAATCAAAGAAAATAGAAACAATTTTTATATCATTCAAAAGCATGTTTAATTTTTTTTGGACTTGAAAATTTTCCACTGAAGGCTTATACTGTCTCAATGACTTAGAAAACAAAACTAAACAAGTTGCTTTGAAAATAAGCCAGCGTCGGAAATAAATCTTACTAAATATGAAAGTAAGCCACAGCTTATTATTGAGATTTCAGGGTATGGGTATGATGGTGAATAATCCTTCTAGGAAAGTTTTAAGTCCATATAAAGAACAATTTTAGGTGTCAAATGAAATGCTGAGCGTGTACGCGTATTAACGTATAGATGTAAATGTTGTTTTTCACTCTGGCTATAAAATAAAGCTGTCTAGTCCTGAAATACATCCCTATGCACTTGTGCAGTCTGAATGTCAAATGTACAAGCATATATTGCCTATGTATTTAAAAAGGAAACAGGTTAATATTTAGCCAGATACAGTTTTATTTTTGTTTCTTCAATTTTCATGCCGTAATGATAGCAAGTCGGTCATAATTATGTAGCGGAACTGGACTGGGACGATCGTCGGCGACCAGATAGCTCAATTGCCAGAGCATCCGTCTAGAGTTCGGAGGGTCCCGGGTTCGAACCCTGGTCTGGCCGTGCATTTTTGCTCTCCTGTTACATTTGGCGCCCAATGAAATATACCCACAAAAGGTGGTATAGGGTCTCGTATGTCTTCGGGGTCAAAGACTTTGTTAAAGGAGGGAGGAATGTAGTGGAACTGGACTGGGTCGATCGTCAGCAAACAGATAGCTCAATTGGCAGAGCATCCGTCTAGAGTTCGGAGGGTCCCGGGTTCGAACCCCGGTCTGGCCGTGCATTTTTCCTCTCCTGTTACAATTATATTCTATGAAGCCAGCATTCAATAACTGTAAAATTTGATATACTTTAAAGTAACGTTACTTATTGTGTTACAGGTCTGGAGGAAAGTATGGCTTTTCTGATCGAGTCATTGATGGCATTTATGTACATATCAACGCCGTGTCAGTCAAATTTATGTCCAAGAAATTCCACGCATCTCTACAGGTTTGTCATACAAAAAAGCTCTGTTAAGGTCAATATCTTACATCTCCTTTTGGTCAAGTTATGGTCAAGCTTCTTTTAATGTCAAGGTCAAAGGTTCACATTAAGGTAGAGTGGTCCACCATTTTTCTATGCTGTACAGGCCTGAAATTTTTTCACTTTTTTTAAAGTTGCTAAATTTATGTTATTTCCGAAAATCTCTGAGTAAACACTTTTGTAAGCATCATTGAAGAAATTGAAGTAACTTTTTCAACATTTATGAGTTCATAACAAAATCGTGTTCCTAGACATATTTCATGAATTGGGTTAACATGTTATGGTAATAGAATGTCTAGAAACCCTATGATATCATAACCTCATAAATGTTGAAAAATATAATTCCATTACTTATATTTATATTTTAAAATGCCTTTGATTTATTGATCTTATTACAACCCCCCCCCCCCCCCCCCAAAAAAAAAAAAAAAAATTGAGCAGAAGTATATAAAGAGAATAGCATGGTAATGTTAAAGTTTTGTTGGAGGTCCTAGCAACAGCATGACAACAAAATATACAATAATCGCTCACTCAGTCATAGCTTGACAAAGGGACCAGTCGGTCTTGAAATGTTGTGACACCATTTGATACGCACATTGTTTGTGTATAAAGTAAAACTTTGATATAAAATAAATTTTGTATAATATGACATGTAATATGTTGTAAACATTCATTTTAAACAACTTATTTTGTCTTTAACATAAATGCAATTATGTATAATGTACATTTATATTAGCATAATAACAATACTGTAAGGGTGGCTTCAGGGCAGTCTATAATTACAGGCTCTATCAATACAAGGAAATTGAAATACGAGGAAATATGTAAATGACATTCTTATCAAATGGTTCAAAGACTACATAATGTAAATGTAGTAAAACGCCAGGATGATGATAATTATATTCTGTTAGTTTACACTTTATTTTATTTTTACAACAATATATTCTGTTAGATCTGCCATCAGATACATACACGCTGTATTTGATTATCAGTACCTTTGTAATTATTTTGTTAACAGCTTTCCCGAGTTGTAGTGCAAAGTAAATCTCCGAACTGGCAAAAGACAGATGACCTCCGATCAACAAAAATAAAGGAATCGAGTCGTGGCGAGATTCTCTTGTTTAAAGAAGTTGAATGGCAGACAACTCGGATTGAGGCTACGGCAGTGGAAGGGGAGACAAACGACTTCCTACTGACGCCACTACGACTAATAGCCAACCAATCAAAAGTCAGGATCACCATCAAGAAAAACCTCAGTGGTAAGAAAGGATGAATGTTTATCTTAAACAGAATATTGAATGAAATAATTCCTCTTCAGGTTGATAAAATGCAATATCACCCTATCTTCAGGGTGATGAAATGCAATATTACCCTATCCTAAGTGTGATAAAATGCATCTTGTGCGTCGTACAAAATCTACAAATGGCATTAAAACTTACAGTTCACAAACACAGTAATATTCTGTACATTATCCAGTTGTATATTAACAGTACTTCTACAATCAGTTCTCAGTTCCATGATCATCACAGGTACATGCCCGAGTGACGATACCTGGGCTACTTGCCTGCTCCTTCTAGGACCTGACAGCCTGATGCTCTCCTGATTATGAGCAATCTGATTAAAATCATCTGTTACATGGCTTCAATAACTTCATACTACACCTGAGTTTCCCTAAAAAAACAGATTCATTGATTTTTAAAACTGCTTGTACATTATTAATTACTGTACATCCCCAGTCAAGAACGGTATATTTATTACCCTAGTTGGTGTACGGTAAAGCCCGGTGCAGGTCCTGAATACCTAATTTTGAGCATATCTCCCATTCATCAAAACAACAGGTTTTTTTGTGCTTCCTGTTTAGTCATCCTACCTATCACTATTAAATCAGCTTCATGCAGTTTTCAAACCTGATCTTGATAAAAAGGCCCCAGGCCATAATGCCTGGACGAGGTAGGCGTAACTTGGACCACAGGTTAAATATTCCTCTCAATTCTTTCATCATCATCATCACCTCCAGTGTTTGGTATGTCATGGTTTTCTCTGTTTTTACAGACTGTAGTATCATCTCCACATGTGTGATGTGTCAATTTTCCGGGTTTTCACAGACTGTAGTATAATCTCCACATGTGAGATGATGTTTAATGTTTTCTGTGTTTTCACAGACTCTAGTATCATCTCCACATGTGAGTGATGTGTCATGTTTCTGTGTTTTCACAGACTGTAGTATAATCTCCACATGTGTGTGATGTGTCATGTTTTCTGTGTTTTCACAGACTGTAGTATCATCTCCACATGTGTGTGATGTGTCATGTTTCTGTGTTTTCACAGACTGTAGTATAATGTCCACATGTGTGATGTGTCATGTTTCTGTGTTTTCACAGACTGTAGTATCATCTCCACATGTGTGTGATGTGTCATGTTTCTCTGTTTTCACAGACTGTAGTATCATCTCCACATGTGTGTGATGTGTCATGTTTCTGGGTTTTTACAGACTGTAGTATCATCTCCACATGTGTGATGTGTCATGTTACTGTGTTTTTTACAGACTGTAGTACCATCTCCACATGTGTGATGTGTCATGTTTCTGTGTTTTCACAGACTGTAGTATCATCTCCACATGTGTGATGTGTCATGTTCTCTGTTTTTACAGCCTGTAGTATCATCTCCACATGTGTATGATGCGTCATGTTCTCTGTTTTTACAGACTGTAGTATCATCTCCACATGTGTGATGTGTCATTTTCTCTGTTTTTACAGACTGTCGTATCATCTCCACATGTGTGAAGTGTCATGTTTTCTGTGTTTTCACAGATTGTAGTACCATCTCCACATGTGTGATGTGTCATTTTCTCTGTTTTTACAGACTGTCGTATCATCTCCACATGTGTGATGTGTCATTTTCTCTGTTTTTACAGACTGTAGTACCATCTCCACATGTGTGATGGGTCATGTTTTCTGTGTTTTCACAGATTGTAGTACCATCTCCACATGTGTGATGTGTCATGTTTCTGTGTTTTTTCACAGACTGTACTATCATCTCCACATGTGTGATGTGTCATGTTTCTGTGTTTTCACAGACTGTAGTATCATCTCCACATGTGTATGATGCGTCATGTTCTCTGTTTTTACAGACTGTAGTACCATCTCCACATGTGTGATGGGTCATGTTTTCTGTGTTTTCACAGACTGTAGTATCATCTCCACATGTGTGAAGTGTCATGTTTTCTGTGTTTTCACTGACTGTAGTATCATCTCCACATGTGTGATGTGTCATGTTTTCTCTGTTTTCCAGACTGTAGTATAATCTCCACCTGTGTGATGCTCTTCCTGGACGACATCCTTTGGGTTCTCACAGACACGCAGTTAAAGGCGGCCATCTTGTATGCCAATTCGCTACGGATGATGATAGAGAAATCCAGAGAGCAGGGTAAAAAACTGGCTGCAGAAACAATTTTGGTAATTTGAAAATGAATTAATTAATTAATTAAAAGTTAGGAAATAAAGTGGGCAGATATATCATGATTAAGTAATTTGTATACCTTATCACAGGGCTAGACAGTTGGAGAAGACCGATAGTCTGAGACTAGTGAAATCTCATTCACCCCTGAAGGCACATTTGAACTCTTCCAATCCTAAGGTTGGAATAGTTCATTATGAAATTTCAGGGGTGAATGGGTTAAAACTGCTAGCCCATTTGACTAGTCAAAATTTGATATTGCTTAATCTTGTTGAATAATACTGGGTAAGTGGAATTTACACATGGACTAGTAAAATTGGAGACTTTTATCCCACCTGACTAGTGGTATTCAAAGTAAATTTTCTAGCCCTGCTCATCGGCATATTTTTTTCGCTATATCTCTTGTATTACAGGGTTAGACACTAACCATTTTTCCTTGATAGTCCGTTGGAATAGTCAAATAGATTATTTGCTAGTCCTATATCAATGTAGCTACTCCAAGAAATTCTTAAACATTTCCAGAATGAATCATTGAATGTACTTAACTCTATGGGACATAAAATAACTACTGCCTTTCAGATATGGTTTAGTTTACACACAAAAATAGATGATTTTCATGCAATTTGTATGTTAACTCATTCACCCCTGACATTTCATAATGAACTATTCCAACCTTTGAATTGGAAGAGTTCAAATGTGTCTTCAGGGGTGAATGGGTTAAGTAGTTTTCAAAACGAAATATTCTTATTTTATAATCTATCATATGACATTGTGGTAGCGTCTTTTTTACAAATCCAAAGGGCCAGTTAATTTAGGTAATAAACTAGTCCTTGCTGAAATGTTCTAATCTTGGACTTGATGAAAATAAAAAAATTGAGATTTCCATATATGATAATTTCCACTTTAGCAGTAGTCTAGAGTATTTTTTAACTGGTTTACACTCCCCGTAAGATGACTGATGTCTATTTCAGCGTCAGGGACAGTATCGACAGATGTACCCTCAGCAACAGGCCTCTCAGCGAGCCCGCTCCCAGTCCAATGCCACGCCAGCCCAGTACTTCATGAAATACGATGTACAAACCACGTCCTACCATCTCATCAGCAGTCGTATCGACCTCCACCTCTGTGACGATTCCTCACCTGATTCTAGTAAGTGTTGCAGTTATCTCCCCTTATTCAGGTTTGTGAGGAAACAGAATGAAGTTTAGTATTTATATTTTCCAATGATTTCGACATTAGATTTATATCTTACTTTTAGTTGTTTTCTTTAAATTTAAAATGTTGTTTCTTCTTTATAGATGTAAATGACAACCCAAAACACAACAAGAGGATTGAGGGCGGAGCTATGCAAATTACATTCAATAAGCTGTCATTAGACATTTACCCTTTCAACCCAGCAGGTGAGAAACTCGTACATTCTTGACCTCCTGTTACTTGACTGACCAAATATTCGACCCTCGTTACTTGACTGGGTACACATAACTTAGGCTGCTTAATTCTATGAGTTTTTGCTCCGATTTCTGTTGAAATTTTAAGTTTGGTTTGTATCTACGCTCTAGGAAAACACCAACCAATCACTACACAGACAACTAGAAATTAGCGATAGATGGTGTATTGTTATTGAATTTATTTTTACAATCGTAGCTAGAAATTACAGTATAGCACTGATTTCAGCTTATTAGAATGAATACTTTTATTTCAGATAGAAGAAATATACTAAGTAGTCACTAACGAATATTTTTTGTAAAAATTCTGCAAATTTCGAATAAGTTTGTTTTTATTGTGATTCTTTTGCATGGAGTTAGTATTATTATACATGTCCGATATATATTTATATATTTGCTGCCATATGCTTACCGATTTAAGTTGATTCCAACACGTAAACCAGTTTATCCGGGTTATATTTTACAAGTTTTGCCTCGTTTTGATTGGAGTTATGCCCCCTTCATTGAGAGCACCCGGTATTCTCCACATATATCACACATATATATATATATATACCTGATAATAACAAATGTAATCAGCTTAATTTGTTTGTCACCACCAGCTTGCCGCTGTACGCCACAACACATGGCTGATCTTAGACGAAAAATTATCGTAGATTAACGATAATGAATTAAAATGAAATTGAAAAAAGTACCTGTTTAACTCGACCATACTTCTACGCTGAACTGATAACTTATTTAATTCTATTTCCATGAGGATTTGAATTCACATCATAGTAATATGTTTGCCTTATCAACTCCATAACTGTTTCTGCATTTTCGTGAACTTTTGATTGTTTAAATTGAAACCTGTTTAATCAGACCTCACAGTATTCCGAATGCCTGTTTAATAAGTAAGACTTTTGAATTCAGACATCTTGTTTAATCTTACCCATGTATGTAGCCCCATAAGGTGTTAGAATAGATAGGTTTTATGCGATTTCATTCTAGGTAAGGTTTACGAAGGAACCTCAGATTTAAGTGCATGTACATCCTCGATACTCCAAGATTTACGCTCACTTTGGCTCTCTACACCCCTGGAATATGTCATAGGGAATTTGAAGGCACACAGCTAGCTATTTGATTGGTCTCAGGTGAAAATACCTGACCAATTGCTATTCTGATACCTGTCCTTTGAAGATTAAAGAGGAGCAACACTCGACTTCAAAGCCAGTCAATTTTACCGTTATGCCACCGCGAGATTCTTTTGATGTTCATCAAAGGATTAAACTAGTCTTCTTGTCTCATTAACAAGGTGGCACTCACTGAGCCTTCAATTTTGCTATGACATATTCCAGGGGTGTAGAGAGCGAAAGTGAGTGTAACCCCTGGAGTATCGAGCATGGTACATGTAATACAGCTAATGAATTCAAAATAAAACCCAAGTTTATATATAAAAACTTGATGTGGAATTTTTTTTATGAACAAAAATATTTGTAAATGTATAACCACGACAAATGCTTCAAAAATACTTTCACTTTGAAAAACATTTTGGAGTGTAGAAATGCACCTGTTTGAAACATTTGGGAACGTTTGAAGGCTAACATCTTAGTGATATGAACTTAAATCTTTTACATGTTCGTCAAATAAGGTAAATTTCTAAAAATAAAAATTCATTGTGCCCTTAGTAAAAATGAAAATTTTCTGAACTGAACTGCATTGGAATATTTTCGGGGGAAAACAATTGTTACGGTAGAATGCCGATGTGGTGTGGGCGTGTCAGCGACAGCGTGTGTGTGTCAGGCATGGGTGTATATTGCTATATCCATCGCTCCTGGCTTTCAGATGAGGAATTGATCATGTCTCGCGGTGAGTTTGTCCCTCAGTCCATCATGCATGTCCCCAAACATTTATTTTTACATGTATGTTTCTGTAGAGAAAAGGAAAATCACCTTTCAACAGATCTACTGCTGTGCAATCAGAATTCAAAGTTGCTTTTGTGCAGAACCGTGTGCTTCTCAAACAGTAGCCCGATTTCCCATGATATTGTGAAGCTGGTTACTCCCCCTATATTCATTCCCCTTTGTTTAAGTTGTTTATGTATTTTGGTAAACGTAAAATTGACGAAATTCGTAAAAAAAAAATCTAGCAAAGAAATAGAAAAACATGAATGTATAGACAATTTTTTTTTGCTTTAGATAAGTTTTGGTGGTTTAGTAGAAAATTAGTTTTAGTATCATTTGAATGCTTTTATAATTTTCTCTGATTATAATTTTTTTTGCCATGGGTCGATTGCATGTGATTTATAACATACTGATCATAGTGGATCTGTATAGATGTTGTAGTGATCGGAACATTTCGAAAATATTAAATGTTCATCCAAGACAGAGACTTCATCCATGAAATAGACAGCATACGCTGTGCTGCCCATGTCCGTTCCTCATTCATATCTCGGTCACATTCCTTGATGGTCAGATTTCAATAAAATTTCAAGTAGTTTAAAACAAGCATTTTGCACCAAGAGTGAAGTTTCTTGTAATTGCCTTTGATAGACATTCAAAACACCATATCGATATCTCTCTAGTTCTTCATTTGTGGTCAAATTCAAATGCTTTTTCAAGTAGCTGAAACAAGGAATTTTGGACCGTAAGGTCAAGTTCCACCTTGCTGTTAATAGAAAATTTAAATGCCATATCGTAAACTATGTAGTGCCTTCATTTATGGTCAAATTTCAGTAAAACTTTAAATAGATGAAACAAATGTTTTGAACCTAAGGTCAAGTTTCACCTTGCTATGAATAGAAAATCTTAATGTAATATCGTTAACTTTGTAGTGTCTTCATTTGTGGTCAAATTTCAGTGAATTTTCTTTCAAGTAACTGAAACAAGTATTTTGGACCCAAGGTCAAGTTCCGCCTTGCTATAATGAAAAATCCTTATGCAGTGTTGTCATCTCTCTAGCACTGCCATTGGTGGTTGAATTCATCTGAATCTGTTATCATTTTATATCATTGTAATGTTGACTAGTTTAACATACATGTATATTGGAGTATGCATAAACTTTATTCAAGGTTGTTGGGTAATTCTTCTCTACAATATACTCTATACTGATTTATTGGGGAATTCTATACTTCAATGAACTATTCTGGACTGGTTTCTTAGGAATCTTTGTTCTCTATATGTTCTGAGGTTACCCGAGACAGAGTCTCATCTATCAAGCTGCGATCGCCTTGTCGCCGTCGTCTGTGTTTTGCATCATGCCTCCGTAAAAAAAATATCACATTTTCAACTTCTTCTCAAGATCTGCCCAAAAAAATCAATAAAATTTCTAAGCTTAGGCAAAGTATAGAAAATGAATGTTTCAGGTTACACCACTGAAAAAAGTAGGTCAGTCAGGATTTATTTTTGATTTTATTCTATTTTTTTTTGATTTTTTTTTTTTATGGGTCGGGGGCTTATTTAAGAAATTACAAAAATCACCAAACATATTTTTATGTCTTTAAAGTAATGATATGTGATTAAAATTTGGTTTTGATACCTCCCTATGAAGCAGACAGGGTATGTGTATACAGTAGGTGCCTTGTTTGTTTTTCCATCTATTTGTTTGCATCTGACGGACAAGTTATCCCAACACTGGATGGAGTGCGTTCAAGTGAGATAAAATTGTTAGAATAGTAAGAGGTAAAAACTAGGGTCGGTCGGGGCACCTGAAACATACATTTTTTTATTTGCCTAAATATATTTGCTTTGTAGAAAAAAGTTTTGCTTTGTCAAGTTACAATTAAAAACAAAGAAAAATTTAACCTAGGTGAGTGTTAATGCCCGTGTACTTCTTGTACTGGTCTGGTTTCTGTGGGAACTCTCTGTTAACTGTTCCAGGCTGTGGTTTATTGGAGATGTGTGTTTCGGTCATAAGTAAGCAACATTGTGGAAAATTACAAATAAATATTATGGTAACTTTTACTCATCTATGATGTTGTTTGGCTCTAAATGACTCAAATTGTCGATGGGCCGTAAAACAATACAAAACAAAACTCATCAATTATACCTTTTATCAATTTTCCTATAGATAATAAAATATGTGAATAGATAATGGATAATGTTGTAATCTTCCAGTCCAAATGTATGATTGATTCTTGAACACTGTTTATAATGTCATGAACTTACATGTACAATTGATGTTTATAATGTCATGAACTTACATGTACAATTGATGTTTATAATGTCATGAACTTACATGTACAATTGATGCAGGGCCAATGAAAATCCCAAAATGTCCTTCGATTCTTCCAACAGCTACACAATACAGGAATCCCTTTATATCCAGCTGTGATTCTAAATAAAAGGCAACACCATATAGAAATCCCTACTTGTCCTACAGTCCCATCAACAGCTACACCATATAGAAATCTCATCTTGTCCTACAACCCATCAACAGCTAAACCATATAGAAATCCCTACTTGTCCTACAGTCCCATCAACAGCTACACCATATAGAAATCTCTACTTGTCCTACAGTCCCATCAACAGCTACACCATATAGAAATCTCTACTTGTCCTACAGTCCCATCAACAGCTACACCATATAGAAATCTCTACTTGTCCTACAGTCCCATCAACAGCTACACCATATAGAAATCTCTACTTGTCCTACAGTCCCATCAACAGCTACACCATATAGAAATCTCTACTTGTCCTACAGTCCCATCAACAGCTACACCATATAGAAATCTCTACTTGTCCTACAGTCCCATCAACAGCTACACCATATAGAAATCTCTACTTGTCCTACAGTCCCATCAACAGCTACACCATATAGAAATCCCTACTTGTCCTACAGTCCCATCAACAGCTACACCATATAGAAATCCCTACTTGTCCTACAGTCCCATCAACAGCTACACCATATAGAAATCCCTACTTGTCCTACAGTCCCATCAACAGCTACACCATATAGAAATCCCTACTTGTCCTACAGTCCCATCAACAGCTACACCATATAGAAATCCCTACTTGTCCTACAGTCCCATCAACAGCTACACCATATAGAAATCCCTACTTGTCCTACAGTCCCATCAACAGCTACACCATATAGAAATCCCTACTTGTCCTACAGTCCCATCAACAGCTACACCATATAGAAATCCCTACTTGTCCTACAGTCCCATCAACAGCTACACCATATAGAAATCCCTACTTGTCCTACAGTCCCATCAACAGCTACACCATATAGAAATCCCTACTTGTCCTACAGTCCCATCAACAGCTACACCATATAGAAATCCCTACTTGTCCTACAGTCCCATCAACAGCTACACCATATAGAAATCCCTACTTGTCCTACAGTCCCATCAACAGCTACACCATATAGAAATCCCTACTTGTCCTACAGTCCCATCAACAGCTACACCATATAGAAATCCCTACTTGTCCTACAGTCCCATCAAGAGCTACACCATATAGAAATCCCTACTTGTCCTACAGTCCCATCAAGAGCTACACCATAAAGAAATCTCTACTTGTCCTACAGTCCCATCAAGAGCTTCACCATATAGAAATTTGAATGAATGTTAACGATATTTTTTTTCAGTACAAATACCTGAAAATGTAACAGAGTTTGTGCCCATCGCTCAAACCTAATACTTTTGTAAATATAATCTTGAGATCATTTTTTTGGCGATGTAAAATAGAATATAGGTAGATGAATAATACAGGTGCATTGGGTCTCTTGTTTATGCTGATTGTAACAATGTTGCTTATACAGTAGGGCTTTCGAAAACTTAGATTGTTATGTCAGCCTGATCTAATAACTAACATCAACACGTATTGAATAGAAAAGTGATACATGAATTTGTGCTCCTTAAATCTCTCACAAATCTCTCATTATCTCTTGAAATCTCTCACCAAATCTCACAATATCTTATCATCTCTTAAAATATCTCACCAAGTCTTACAATCTCTCACCATTCTTAAAATCTCTCACCAAATCTCACAATCTCACATCATCTCTCAAAATCTATTATCAAATCCCACAATCTCTCATAATCTCTTAAAATCTCTCACCAAATCTCATAATGTCTCATCTTCTCTCGAAATCTCTCACCAATTCTCACAATATCTCACAATAAGTAAAATTGAACATATCATATTGTCACATCTTGTGTGATCTGATCAGAACAACAATGTTTAACCCTTCATAGGTCAAGGTTAAGGTTAAGGTCAAGGTCAACACAAGCGGTCAAAAGTCAAATTTATGTAATGTATATAATATGCATGCATAGAAATCATGTCTGAAAGGAATGAGGTCGGAGAAAGGGTTGGGGAACCCTGTATCTAGCCAGTGTTCACTTCATTTTAAATCTATCTACTTTACAAAGAACTCAGATTTATTTCCAAGTTTTGCAGCCAATCCAATCACATTGATGGTAAAAGAGAAAGTAATTAATACTGTTTATAATCATTGTATTATTCCATCAGGAAAAAATACCCTCAAACGTTTTATAATACAGTGATTTCTCATAAAGAATGTAATTAACTTCCTAGGACTTAGTTTAAGGTTGTTGTCTAGAGATTCTCAGCTGTACGAAAAATAGATACATTCAAGTCACATAAATCTAGCCACCTTCTCAACATTCCGCCTAGTAATGACTAGATTAAAAAAACAGCTGCCATACAGCATACTAGACATTTTTGATAATAAAACATGGAATCTGTCCTGTAAAACCCTGGCTAGATAGATGAACAACCAGATTAGTAATGGCTTGATTAATAAGGCAAGGTAGCTATATATATAGTGGGATAACCAGACTAGTGGTGGCTGGAAAATGGAACAACTAGATTAGTGGTGGCAGACTAGTGTGACAACCAGGT